CGCCTACCTGATGAGCCCCAGAAAGGGCGAAACCGGTCGTGGGCTGTCAACGGATTTTCAGCAACCTTATGAGTAGTATATTACAAAGAATGATTATTTTGTTCATGCTTTTCCCCCGATATGAGGCACATGCTGCTCCATGGATGTTATCCTCATTGTAGTCCACCATCAGTGGAGAGAGGTGGCCCATCGCAGCACATTCAGTTGCTTGGAAACATCCTAAACGAGTGATTCGGGTTGGTTCCAGGTGAGTCTTCGGAAAAACCAAATTTGTTTGCAAATGAGTACATTTCGCTAACTTCGTGCAATCTGGGTTCAAGTAGAACATAAATTTGGCGGAAACTGGGTGACTGCGCGTATCTGATGAACCCCAAGAAGGGCGGAACCGGTCATGGGCTGTCCAAGAATTTTCAGCAGCCTTTTGTGAAGCGTATTGAGACCGAGCTTGACAGTTGGATTGCAAACATTTCATCACCAATCGAGGTGACATCGTCAGTGCAGGGTTGAGTGGGTGAATTCCTCTTCTTCTGCCTGTGCTTATATAGCTTCTAAACAGTAACTACCTACATTCCACAACATTGCTACGGAACACCCTTTTTCCATGGTGACCTACCTCCAGAGAAATTACCGTGTTTTGTCTTAGTAATGCACCTATGGTCCTACAGGGCTTTCCTCGAAATTCCAGTGAGCACCACAGAAGTTAAGCTAGTGACGAATTTCGCATATTGTCCTGAATCAAATCTTGTAAATGTCACCACAGAGAATTTATGAAAAACACCATAGTTTGTAACGAATAAATTTTGAAATATCTATCAATACGAAAAACGTTTTTTTTGCGCGTAAGACTAATAATAAAGCATAAAGATTAGCAAGGCCTTCAAATTAGTCATATAAACACACAGAAAAGAGATAGTAGGCTGGCGCATCCACATGGGAAGCCTGAGCAGCTCGTTCGCCCTCCTGAGGACCAGGCGTTAGTCTATAGGTTGAAAACGCGTTGTGAAGTAAACTTAATTCAGCTGTGAATAAATCGTCTAGTCAAGTGCGTAGTGGTAAGGACGTCGTAAAATGGCCACTTGATGCAGATCTTCCTGACTGCTTTTGTATGCATTGTTGTACTCACGCTCATTTAGTTCACAAACGATTTGTTTCACCCGACCTCGGTAGGCAGCAAGGTCAGCTGCTGTGGTTGCTGTGCTTACTTCAGCGGTCTCGCAGCGATCATTTAGGCTTTCGATCGATCCAGGTTTACTTGTTGTAGTAGTATAGAACCGACAAGGTGGTGAATGGAATCCTCCAGTTACTGGGTACTCGTACCGAGTCAGGTACTTGGTCGTATTCTGTGTTGGATAAGTGGTCAGTGTCGGGGAATGGACAAGTTCCGCGTGTGATTGTGGTCGGTAGTCATTACTAGTAGTCGTGACCCAGGATGGATAGTGTGTGTTGTAGTTATATTCTTTTTTGGGAGGATTAGGAGCAACTTTTGGCATGGCATTTTGTGCTTTGGCGTAATATTCGTGGTCAATCGAACAGCTCTCACAGCCAGTGCTTTGTCTGGGGTCATAATCTCTATACATTGTATCCCATCTGGCAGAACGTACAGGTTTGGAAGCCAGGTACAGACTGGACGAATACTGCTGAGGCCCAGTTTGGCTAGGTTCATAGCTGCCATTGAAGGTCCCATAAGAAGGACGGTACGGGTCGGTGTAATTTCGAGGATCGGACAAACTTGAAACATGTTGATAGTTTTCGACTTTTCGGTATTTGGGGTTGTAGTCTTCTGTTTGCGTCGAATGTGGTCGCATGGAAACGCTCTCAATCGCATTCAAATCGGAGTCCCAGCTGGCATAGGTGCTGTGGTGAGGTGTTTGCCCTGGTGGACAATGATAACAATCAGAACAAAAGGAGCAACGCGCAAGAAGTTTGTTGGTCCTAATGAGTTGCTCGAAGTATGCACGTTTCTCTGCAAAGCCTGGGGTGATGGGTGTTGTGTCTACACCGTCGTTTACGTGGAAAGGACTAGGGATGTCACGAGTTGGCTGCGGTGAATAGCTGCACTGAACTGCTTCGTTCACTTTATATGCCGGGGTTTGCGTGCCACAATCTTCAACAAAAACCCGTGTGAATAACGGTGGAACGGGTGACAGTGGTTTACGTCTTCTTACTCTGTCTCGAATTTCTCGTTCCGTGTTTTCCTCCAAATCATTCGGAACGTAGCGTGCTGCACTTCTGATGTGTGGCGGAGACCAGCTCCCCCGCAATTCGTGATAGGCTTGTCGCTCGCGATTCACTGATTCGGCCTTTTGCATCCACCTGCGACGTTCACTAGCTTCCCGAATTCGCTCAGATTCTGATCGATACACACCAGTCTGTGGACGATAGCGTTTTGGCACGAGGGCCAGCCTTTTCTTATCTTCCCCTGACAAGCTTTGCCCGGACGTAGTCAGCCGCATTGACTGAGTTCGTCTAATGTTTGACTGCATCGGCTTTTCACGTTTTACCGATGGGTTCTTTTGTCCCTGAAGTGAACTGAGTATAGGCGTTCGATATGGTGGTGGTGATAGAGACTTTACTGACCAAGATCGCGTAGGAGATGGATAATATTGTGCCGGACGGTTGCACTGAACCGAAGAGTCTTTTGTAGGCAACCAAGTGTAGGGCACTCGGTTTGGACTGGTATTCATACTGCTGCATCGCAAAATATAGGGATGTATCTCAGCTGGTGGGGGAGTTGGTAACGCTGGTGGTTGACCGCAAGGTGAAGGTGTTTTTGGCACTTGCTGGTGAACCTTCGGGCCAATGGGCACACTTCTCGGACGGGCTGCAATACGGTTAGATCCGCTTGACGAAGGGTAAGTACGGGGCATTGAAACTTGGGTTTCCCTTGTCTGACTTCTAGCTCCACTTCTCTGGTTCACTGATTGTTCCGATCCAGTGCGTGTCAGCGCCTGTGTTCGGTACGGTGTGATGATTCCATCCTTTTTAGCATCTTGTAAGGCAGTTTCAGCTACCCAGAAATTGGTCGCCTGAATTGTCGATCGACTAGGATAGGGACCATCGGAAATCACGTAAGTGGTGACAAATTGTTTTGGGGCGTTTTGCTCTAGGGCATTTGGGACGCGTTCGTAAACCACAGCTGAGCGCACAAAGACACCATCTGTGTCACTGGGCTGTACGTGAATAAGTTCACCCTTGGAATTAATGGGAATCAGAGATCTGTTGTTGGACTGTATTGCTTTATCGCGTTTCCCACTATCGGTTTGCCTCAACGCCGGTCGATATGCTGCCATACCGGACTGCACGGTACACATGCCTGTATCCTTGTATCTTTGCGGATTGCCGGACGGCGGTTCCACCGGGGAGAGAGAACGCTGGGTGATTGACCCTGCACGGTAACGCGTTCCTTTGGGAGGAAAGTCAGAAGTTCCTCTGTCCAAGGCAAGAGATCTAGAGCGAAAGGGGAGGTGCATCGACAGTATTGGTTGAGCAGATTGTTTCATTTGAGTAACAAAGTTTCGCCTCGAACCATGTCTGCCTCGACAACGGATTGAACTGGAGGCGGTTCTGTTGAAATGTGTGTCAATCAGTTCTGGTGATGGAGGTAATGGAAGGGGAGGAGGTGTTGGAAGCTTGCTATGAGATATAGGACTTGGGGTACGAAATTTAGGTGGGCGGCAGAAGAATTCCACCGATTTTGACATGGAATTCCTTGATAAATCACGCCCCGGGGATGTCACTTTTTCCAAGGACTGACCTCTTGTTAGCCTCTTGTTAACTTCACCTCGCTCAAACATCTGGCGTAGTTCTTCCACGGATGTGTTATGCTCCAGGGGAGCATCACCCAAATCAGTGTTCACACTCAACACCTGGATTGATTTACGTGGAAGTGTGTATGATAATTTCCTCAAAGGCGGACCGTTTTGGATCGCGTTGCTAGTGGAGTTGGTTTGGCCTAAACTATTGAAATAATCACGCAGCTGACCTACTGAAGGTACCCGGGGCTCCGTTTGATCCATGGGTGCATTGATATCAGAAATTTGTCCAGCAGATAAGTGGGAATTTCGACGGGCATGCTCAGGGGTGGAAGGCGTTGTGCTAGGCCTACTTTGACCAGTTTTACGCTCTTCTGACTGAGCTCGTGACTGCAGATGAGCCGAAGATTTCCGTCGCGAATCCAGATGAATGGTGGATGAGCTCACAAATTCTTTGGCTCGCTCTGGAACTGGATCAGTATGTTCAATTTGCACACTGTCCTCTAAAATATCTACTTTATTCAGTAGAGGATTATCTTCTACCATATGTCTGAGAACGTTTCATCTCTCAGCTGTGGATGGACGGGCTGTGATTTCGCAACTGAAAGTTATTGATCCTTGGAGTCGGATATGGATTCTGCCGTTGAGGTTATTGCCTATAAAGAGGTAAACGGTAGAGCAAAGCTTGAGTAGGAGACATTTTTCAAAAAAATGGGAAAATCGTGTGGCAAATTTTTTTCTGGTCACAGTTCGAGTCGAGCAATCCATAATGAGTAATAAAAGTTCTCAGAAAGCATGTGGGATAAACCCAATGATGGAAACTAGTCCCGAAAACGGTCACCTCCTACAGAGAGAAGGCTAAATTGACACAACAAATCAGTCTTAGAAACAACTAGCAGTGTAAGGAGGATAATCCATAATGAGTAATAAAAGTTCTCAGACAGCATGTGGGATAAACACAATGATGGAAACTATTCCCGAAGACGGTCACCTCCTACAGAGAGAACGCTAAATTGATACAACAAATCATTCTTGGAAACAGCTACCAGTGTAAGGAGGAAAACCCTGCGCCGTAAAACCGTTTATTAGCAAGCACCAAATAAACAGTTACAAACCATTGGACAGGAAAGTAACCATCCCATATGAAACTTATTTTTTGAAACTGAACATCCTCATGCGTCTCCTTCCGTAAATGAATGCTACAGAACGGTTTCCCAAGTTCCGTGATAAACCCTACCATCCATTAGGCGCTGAGGCGGAGTTACGATAAAACCACATATTACTCGCATGACTCATCAGTAGTATCTGCTGTTACACTAGTATCCCATTACTGTTGTTGTTTCAGATGCCTGAGGACAACTGAGCTGCCTGCTTTTTAATAGGTATATATTTGGTGATTTTCCACCAGGAATTATTGTTTGTGGTTAATTGTTGAACGGTAATCATTACCATAAACGTGACAATATTTGTATATAGTCGAAATTATGCAGGGCATCTTTGTATATTCGGAGTGATTTAGTACGATGTGTTCACTGTTGAGAAAAAAGCACTGCTGGTCTCCTTATGCTTCATACTGCAGTCGTTTTGTGATGGTCTTTAGGTTTCACAAGGTAACGCCAACTACTGCTTCCAACCGCTACATTCGCAGTATCACCGCATTCTTCATGAGTTGAAATATCGATTTTAACAGGGAGGTAGACTTGCCAGAACTAGGTTGCTTTTGGTATCGGATCCATCTGGCAGTGATTTCTGAGGTAGAAGAAAACTGTTTGGCCTACCTAACAAGCACGTACGTAACGCGTTTTGACTTCTACACGGAATGTTTTGCATGTCGACACGCTACATTCGCAGTATCACCGCATTCTTCGTGAGTTGAAATATCGATTTTGACAGGGAGGTAGACTTGCCAGAATTAGGTTGCTTTTGGTATCGGATACTTCTGGCAGTGATTTCTGAGGTAGAAGACAACTGTTTGGCCTACCTAACAAGCACGTACGTAACGCGTTTTGACTTCTACGCGGGATGTTTTGCACGTCGACAGTGAGGTTCAATCATAAACCGGGTCGAGCTGTGAACAATGCATCGAAATTATTCAAACCAAACATGCCGAATGAATGAATGAATGAATGAATGCATGAATGAATGAATGAATGAATGAATGAATGAATGAATGAATGAATGAATGAATGAATGAATGAATGAATGAATGAATGATGGTATTTATCACCCTCCTTTGAGCAGTCGTCATCCTATCCTCATACAATCCCAGTGTTTCGTCTGCACCAAGGAGTGGGAGGAACGGATTAGAGTTCCACTGCTATTACTGCTATTGCAATGCACTTTCTTGGCCAAACCCTGAATTACTGCGATGCGAGTGGTTCTTTGTACTATTATTCCACCAACACTTGATGGATGAATCCGAATTTTCTGTGGAATAAACAGAATGATAATCCTGGGACGGCATGGCGATTATTATACAAGCGAACGCCATGAATGAAAATACGGTGTGTAGTTGAGAAATACACTCATTTGCAAATCGATTTGGTTTTCTCCAGAAACCTAACTGAATCTCTCGTTTATGATGTTCTTGAACTGAATGCGCTGCACACTGGCTGCCTCATGTTTCAGTTGGTACGATATTCGAGATATCGCAGTATATTTTCATAGAAGAAACTACTCACAGTCGAAGAGTTTTCAACAACCTTGTGAGTAGTTTCCTGTACGATGTGTAGTGTTTGTTCTGACGTCCGTTTCATTGCCGAAACGACTGATCTCACCAAATATGACCTTGGATGTGACCAGTTCCACCAAAGTGGGGGAATGTTTTTGAGAAGTTTCCTGTTGAGCTCGAAGGTGAAAACTTGAGGAATCGAGAATTGTCTTCCTATAATTACCTGACGGGAGCACCCAAGTTAAGGTGAACATCCTACCCCCATGGCCTAGACAAAGTAGGGTAAAGGTAACTTCAGCAAGTCAGTACATTCATCACTGACGTCGGCAGGTTTTTTAAGCCCCCATGGCCTAGACAAAGTAGGGTAAAGGCAACTTCAGCAAGTCAGTACATTCATTCATCACTGACGTCGACAGGTTTTTTAAGATGGGACTTGCCATTTGGAAAGCTACCAGTTTTGTAGTTATAAGGAGGATCTAACAGCCGACATCTGATGAACAGCTGTGTCTCGAACAAGCAGTTTGTATGAAGCAGTATCTACACTGTCAATAGCAATGTGAGGAGGAACACAACAATGAAGCGGGTAAAGTTGTTTGAGTAGGTTGAACAGTGGGTCCAGCAGCCACAATCGATTCCCCAGTGGTCTTG